AGCATTCCCACTTGGTTCTGTCTGCTTCAGGGACTGTGTCTTGTTCCTCTTCCTGGCACGTCCCCCCCCCAATGTGTGCAGGGCCTGTGTCCTTCCTTCATGTCTGTGCTCGTACGCTGCCCCAGACCTGTGCAGCTTGTGTGTGTGTGTGTGTGTGTGTGTGTGTGTGTGTGTGTGTGTGTCGGCATCTGATGGAGTCTGAGGTTACTGATTTATCTCCTTATATATGATGTCTGCTTTCCGTTCTAGATGTGGGCCTGGAGGATAGGGACTTGGTCTACTTTATTCACCTCTGATTCCCCAGCACCTGATAGCACCTGGTTCATACTAGGCACTTAATTAATAGTTTCCGAGTAGATAATAAGCATTCGGTCTCACTCTGGCCTTCATGTTTTTCACACACCTCCTCACACCGTCTTCTTTACACCATTTCCTTACTCTGTCAGATTGTCACGGTACCATGCACTTCCACTGTTCATAGCATTGACCATCTAACATTTTAATACTTCTTTATGTGAATATCTCATTAACAAACCTGCCCCTCTGCCTACCTGCCGCCCACTCTCCACAGCCTGTAACCTCAGGAGAACCGGGGATATGGCTTTTTTCTTTCTGTTGTAACCCCAGTCCAGCCAGCATGGTGCTTGGTGTGCTGGGGTACGCAAGAAGTACGAGTTGAGGGGCCCCTGGGTGTCTCGGTTGGTTAAGCATCCAACTCTTGGTCTCAGCTTAGGTCATGATCTCGTGGTTCCTGAGTTTGAGCCCCATGTCAGGCTCCGTGCTGACGGTACAGAGCCTGCTTGGAATTTGGTCTCTCTCAAAATAAAGAAACTTAAAAAGTCCATGTTGAATGGTTGAATCTCTTTGATTGACCATCCTCTCCTCCCCGACCTTGATCATCTCTCTCAGTTATCCATGTCTCTGACTGCTCTTGCTGGTCAAGATTCTGTAGACGGAAGCATTCCCTTAGATCCCGCATGTAGTCTGTTGACTGCGTAATCTGCCGCAAGATTATTGTTTCTGTTCCCTTAGTTTCAGCTGTCAGTTTTAGTCGATAAGCACGCACAGAGGCGCCCGGGTGGCTCAGTTGGTTAAGCGTCTGACTTCATCTCAGGTCATGGGCTCACAGTTCGTGGGTTCAAGCCCTACTTAGGGCTCTGGGCTGAAAGTTCCGAGCCTGGAGCCTGCTTCAGATTGTGTCTCCCACCGTCTCTGCTCCTGCTCTGCTTGCGCTCTGTCTCTCTCTCTCAAAAATAAACACTAAAAAAAAAAACTTAACGCGTTGTCCTTCTAACCTGACCTCTCTCCTGAATCACATTACTTGACTTCCTTCTGAGTTGTTAGGGTTCCTGACTGCCCTCACGTTAGAGAAAACCAAACCATTTTCCTCCCTGCGTGCATACCCTTCAGTCATGATTCCCTGACACTTGACTGATGTATCGTGGGCTACCTAAGTCATCTGGGTTCCAAGCTTTAGAGCCCTCCTCAGTACTTCTCTCTCGGGTTGCACATCCTATGTATCTCCCAAGTCCTTTTGATTTGACAAGGCAATGTCTTCTGTCTCTTGTCTTCCTAGTTTCCTGCTTCCTTCCCCTCAGCAATCTGACCTACTACTTTTCTTCTACAACCCAGTCCTGTGCCTTTCTCTGTTGTTTACAGAGAAAGAAAAAGCCCTCCACTACCTGGCACCACATCTTCCACGGCCACATGTTCGCATCATCCTTTCTGAGGACACTCCGGGCCCCTCAGTAATGGGCTGCATTTTGATGAATTTAGGTGACTAGCCTGTAGATTTTTGCATTGAGGAACCATAAACTGGCTTGATTCTAAAACTTCCCTGATCGGTCCAAGCTCCAATCCTTTGTGTACCCACAGACGCTTTCCCCGGGTATGTCTTTCGTTAACTTCTTTCTATAAACAGAGCGCGTTCCAAAGCTTCACGCCAAAGCAGAATGACATAATTTCCAAAATGAGCTATCGCCTGTGGTAGAGGATGGGTCCAGCCCTCTCCCCCCAGCCCCTGCTTCACAGTAGCCTCACGGAGGCGCCCTTCCTAACCTCTGCACCCTAAAAACAGGGGTGTGTTGAGGGAGATGTTCTAACTGAAGTTGCATTTTGGAACCAAATGCTTTCCCATATAGAGCTTTTCCTGGAAATGGACTAGAAAAGGAGCTGCCGATAGGTGCTCACAAGGTCGGCCTCTGTGGTGGTCACACAGGGTGCCTTTTCAGGTTCCAGCTCCCTTGGGAATTACTTGAATTAGTGATGGTCAAGTCTGTGGTTTGTGTGTAGGGCACGTCGGTCATTTCACAACGTAGGCCTAGATGCTCTTAACTCCTTAAAGCTTGATAACTTGGGCTTATTGATCCCCATTAGTAAACCACTTGATTGAATTGAGAGACAGGCAGAATCTTCTCACAGGCTTCTGAATGACCCATAGCAGAAAGCAGTGCAGGTTTGCTGAGCACCCTGAAGGAGTAGGTGTTATGCTAGATGTTGGCTGTCCTGTTTAATTCTCCAGGAAGTGTGGGTAGCATGCTCCCCCTTTTGAAGTTTAAAACTGAGGTTCAGAAAGGCTAAGTAACTACTTAGGTCACACAGCAGCTAGTGAAGGGTCGGCCTGAGAATTTGATCATAGAGCTAGCTCTGTAACTCTGAAAATGATGTTCTTTCTACTATAGTAGGTAAATTTGATTTCTTTGCAAATCACAAGTAGCACCGCAAATGTTTTAGTTTTCATCTCGTTACGCCGATCATTTAAGTAACATTTTTTGCATTCCCCTCTTCCTATTTTTTTCTCCCCCCCACTACCATAGAGCATACTCCTTCCACGTCACCGCGGACGGTCAGATGCAGCCCGTCCCTTTCCCCCCCGACGCCCTCATCGGACCCGGCATCCCCCGCCACGCGCGCCAGATCAACACCCTGAACCACGGGGAGGTGGTGTGCGCGGTGACCATCAGCAACCCCACGAGACACGTGTACACGGGCGGGAAGGGCTGCGTCAAGGTCTGGGACATCAGCCACCCCGGCAACAAGAGCCCCGTGTCTCAGCTCGACTGTCTGGTGAGCGAACTTGATGCAGAAATAGGATGGGACAGTGAGAGACTTGGGTGTACAAGCAGCACACGGAGTTGATCTCAAGTGGGTAGTTGTCCTCACCGCTTGGTGGCCTTTCGCGTGGAGGTTCAGAGTGCTGCTGAGGAGGCATCTTTCAGTTCCCCGGGGCAGAGTCAGCAGGTCTTGGTGGCACGTGCCCCAGGGCAGCTTCCATTCACCCGGCCCAGTGCACGGGCACCGACCCACCACCTGCTTTCCTGTCTGGTAAGGGAGGTGAGGAAAAGTCGAAGCCCGGGAGGGTTTCTGTGAGCATGCTCCTGGCTCTCTCAGTCTGTCACATTGTGAGATGAGACTAGAGTACCCCCTTAGCTGTCTCCTGGGCACCTGCCCCTGTGTTGTGTTTGAAACCTCACTTGGACGTTCTTCCTTAGACCGGCGGTAGCGCTCTCGCCGCAGCGCAGTGTTAGGTCTGCGTCACATGCCTGACGCACACAGCATTCCCAGAGCCTAACGAGCTGGAAGGGGCCTTTTTTTTTCCTGTCCCTTAACAGTCCTTGATGGGGTCTTGCCCCCGGTTGATGATGCTTGATCAGCCCCGGCCGCCCGTCAGCCAGCTAACGCAGGCCGGAAGGGAGGAGACTCCACGTCTCTGACCCCTGACCCTCTGGCGGTGGCAGGAGGACCTTTCACTGGCCAGGTCGAGTGTGCCAAGGGACCCAGGTCCCCAGATGTGACTGCTCCGGGATTGTGAGGGCCCCCGCGTTGTGTGCATGTGTCTTTGTGTGCAAATGACTGAGGCAGCTGGGTGATTTGGTGGTGGTGGGAGTTGGGTCTAGATCTTTGCATTTTCATGCTAATTAAGATTAAATATCTCAGCACTAAATTTGTAGATCAAGTTTAAGTACTTCCCTAATTTCATGTAATTTTCTAGCATTAATCCACTTTATCATTGTCATAAGTAAAAATGGCTCATTAAAACCAGGAGGGAACACAATACTTTTATGGATTTCTGCTCTCATGTTAATGCTGTTTTCCTTTCCTCATGAGTGATCTCTTGATGGTTTTTGTCTCTACAGAACAGGGATAACTACATCCGTTCCTGCCGATTGCTCCCTGACGGTCGCACCCTCATCGTGGGAGGGGAAGCCAGCACTCTGTCCATCTGGGACCTGGCGGCTCCGACCCCGCGCATCAAGGCGGAGCTGACGTCCTCGGCCCCTGCGTGCTACGCCCTGGCCATCAGCCCCGACTCCAAGGTCTGCTTCTCGTGCTGCAGTGACGGCAACATCGCGGTCTGGGACCTGCACAACCAGACGCTGGTGAGGTGAGTCGGCAAGATCCCTTACCAGGGCACGAGGGGAGCCGATTTTACCACTCTGGGCCAAAGAGCTGTGTGCGTCTAAAAAGATGAAATAACAATTATCGTACTAAAAAGTGTTAGGAACAGGCCTCTTTTAAGATGCTGGAAACAAATTAGTAATGTAGAATCTTATTTTCTACACTTCTGATCTTAAAAAATGAGGGCTTGTTTTCTTTCTTTGCTTTTTTTGGATGTTATCCTGAGCATCACCAAGTTGGGTTTTTAAAAAATGAGGTCATTTTTACATAATTAATGTACATAATGTTCCCATGACCTCATGAGCTCGTTAGACATCTGTAATTTGCCATCTGTGCTCGCTAACCAGCCATTATTGTGGATAGACACTCACTGAGAAGATTCACAGCACATGGCACTGTCCTTTGTGCCACGTGTAGCCCACACATTTATTCGTTCAGCAGATAACCATCGAACACCTACCATGGGCCCAGGCTTTGTGCTACTTGCTCTGAAATGGTCTAGATTATCTGTAGTCCCATGTTTGAGGATGGATAGATGCACTGAGATGTCTGTTTTAAGAAGTGAAATTGTATAGGGTTGGCGTTGATAGGTAAAGCCCTGAAATGAGTCTCCAGACGTCAGCACCCACAAGAGCAGGAAGCAAGAGGTGTGATCCGCCGAAGGGTGTGAGAGGATTGTAATCAAGCCTAGCTGTGAGTTCGAGGGAGTGTGTCAGGAGAAGAGGCCTCCACTGTCCATCCGTCAGATATTTTGCAGGACTGAGCTCTAAGTATGATTCCAAAAACAAAGTAGTCGTCATTTGTTTCATCTTGGGTAAGGCTCTTACAAGAAATTGCTTCTAATCTCTCCTTCCCCCAGTGTCTTTTGTACATTCCACCAGCTCCTGGGGCAGCTGAACCACACTGCGTTTCTTTCCATGTGCCTTATCTGAGAGCATGGCCGTTTTTTCTTACGTAGCCTCATACAGTTGCATTGTTGTGCCCTGGCAAAATTCGCTCTGCTGCTCCCTTGCCCTCCTCATAGCTTTTGTAGAAGGGAAGATGTTCCTGACTTCTTAAATTCTTTCCTTCAGGGGTGCCTGGGTGACTCAGTCAGTTAAGCGTCCACCTTCAGCTCAGGTCACGATCTCACAGTTTGTGAGTTCGAGCCCCCCATTGGGCTCCATGCTGACAGCTCAGAGCCTGGAGCCTGCTTCGGGTTCTGTGTCTCCCTATCTATCTCTCTGCCCCTACCCCTGCTCATGCTCTGTCACTTTCTCTCTCAAAAATAAATAAATGTTAAAAAAATGTTTTTTAATTCTTTCCTTCATATCACAATGATATAATAGGTCTTAAAGTATTTTTGGTTAGTGCATATACATGTAGCTCTGTGTTTTCTTTTGTTTACTTCTGTTGGAGATTTTTTTTCCCATTGGTTATATTAATCGTTTTTTGGTATGAAGAGTACTTCCTAAGTATTCAGAAATAAAACGTGCAGGAAATACAACATCTTAACTAAACTTCAATCTATGTATATGCTTTATTATTACTTTGAATAATTAGAAAATACAGTAAATCCAAATGAAATCTATAAGACTGGCAATGATATTGATCGCTGAGGAATTCTAAATTTTTTTATTAAAGTATAATTAACATTCAGTGTTATATTAGTTTCAATATGCAAAATAATGATTCACCAGTTACTAAGTGCTTATCATGTAAGTGTACTCTTAGTCATCTTTGCTTATCTGTCCCCTCTCCCACCTCCCCTCTGGCAACCACCAGTTTGTTTTCTAGGAGTCTGGTTTTTGTTCATCCTTTTTTTTTTCTTTGTTCATTCATTTGTTTCTTAAATTCTACATATGAGTGAAATCATATGGTGTTTATCTTTCTTTGACCTATTTCACTTAGCATTATACTCTAGCTCTATCCATGCTGTTGCAAATGGTAAGGACTTTTTTATGGCTGAGTAATACTCCACTGTGTATCTATACCACGTCGTATCCATTTATCAGTGGGACACTTGGGCTGCTTCCGTATCTTGGCTATTACAAATAATGCTGCAGTCAACATAGGGGTGCATACATCTTTTTGAATTCGTGTTTCCTTGGGTAAATACCAGTAGTAGTAGAAGTACTGAATCATATGCTGTTTCTACTTCTAATTTTTTGAGGAAGCTCTGTACTGTTTTCCACGGTGGCTGCACTGACGAACTTCTGAGTTGAGTTCACCTAAAAACTAACTTTTCAGGGGTTTTCACTCCATTTTGACATTTTCAGGCAATTCCAGGGCCACACAGATGGGGCCAGCTGTATTGACATTTCTAATGATGGCACCAAGCTCTGGACGGGCGGCCTGGACAACACGGTCAGGTCCTGGGACCTGCGCGAAGGGCGGCAGCTACAGCAGCATGACTTCACCTCACAGGTCTGGTCTTGTGCCCGTGGCCTTTTAGACGCCATGGTCTTGTGAAATATAGGACGTGCTTAAGGTTTAAGTCATTTACCAGGTGATGAAGTCATTTTTGACTCTAGGTTAGATAACTGAAAATTTCATTGTTTTCTGTCAAAATACCATAGTGTATATTTTATTAAAGGATTAATATATTGGATTTTACATAAATGGCTAATAAATTCTGTTGTGGAGTTGTATTGCATTACCTTAGGATTTGGCTGTGATTTCTTCCCATACAATTCAAATTATCTTGACGTCTTTCATAATTGGAGTAGTATCTATCCCCAGAAGAAACAGTACCTCCCGGTTGCAGGAGGTGCTCTTCTCTAGTCACCGTCACTATCACCTGTTTTAATTCTAGATCTTTTCTCTCGGCTACTGCCCAACTGGAGAGTGGCTCGCAGTGGGGATGGAGAACAGTAACGTGGAAGTGCTACATGTCACCAAGCCAGACAAATACCAGCTACATCTCCATGAGAGCTGTGTGCTGTCGCTCAAGTTTGCCCATTGTGGTGAGTAGTCCCCTCCTGTCGGCCAGAATCCCTCCTTCTGCCCTCCTGCTGATGCGTTTTACTCCACCCCTTTAGTTTGTTAACGTGTCCCTCTTCAAAATTACATTACTTTCTTATACATACTTGCTATGTCTCTAACGCTGTGTACTAATCCACTTTACCCTTCTTGTAAGTATAAATAACTCACTAAATCTAGGAGAGTGAGCTTTATTTTTCCCGTGAAAAGAAACTTTTGTTGCAAATGAGATGGGTTTTCTGTGAATGGTTGGGTGCTCTATATAAAGCACATCTCCGGTATCTGATGAAGTCACACGAACAAAACCCCTCTTTCTGTAGGCAAATGGTTTGTAAGCACTGGAAAGGACAACCTTCTGAATGCCTGGAGAACACCTTATGGAGCCAGTATATTCCAGGTAACATTAACTTGTTTAGCTACCACTTCTGTGTGCTCGCTGCACGGCAGTGGTTCACCCAAGCTCGCTCTGTGCGTTCTGTCAGGTTAATAAGGCCCCTCAGTGTTCTAAGAGGCAGGTGCTGTGATTCACCTGTCGTACAGACCAGAATACTCTGCGTGAGGGAGGCTAGTGTCCTAGCCACAAGCCGTGGAGGGCGGGGATGGTCTCCAGTTCTCTGTGAGCCCAGAGCCGAGACACCGTGCCTGATACGCTAACTCTTCACACCTCAGTCCCGTTTATACACGAGAGTAGAGGTTTTACGTCTTCTGTGATTTTCGTGTGGGGGTTACATCTATAAAATGCTTACATTTAAAAAGTTTGAGTGTATTGCTTGAATACTTCTATTAGTATTGTTATTTCTTTGGGCTTTTTTCCCCAAAGAAGAGTGTTCCGGAAAAGTTTAGTAAATCTTGATTAATTTCATAGATTTGTATTCTTATTGAATCAGTGGTCCTTGGTGTAGAGTGTGAAATTATTTATAGGAGGACCAAATGGTAGACATGGTACCCCGTATGCTCACGCACAGTCTCGCTGCTCTCTGGCTGTTACGTGTGAATCTCATAGACAAGTTAAAGAAGACCACCTTTTTTTAACCTGTACTTCGAATTTTTTTTTTTTTTTTTTTAGGAATAGAAACAGATTTGCAGCTTTCTCGAATGAGTAGTATAAAGTCATCATAGAGTAGATCAATGCAGTTGAATCCAAAAATATATATATTGAGCGAAAATACTGTGCAAGATAATCAACGGGACAAAAACAGCTAGTTCTTGCTGCCATGAAGTTTATAATTTAATACAATGTTTTTTTTGTATTATGGGTTAAACCCTTTCTGGTGGTCCCAACCAGGACTTAAATATATGTACATGTATGTGTATATGTATGTGTGTGTATATGTGTATGTGTGTATCTATAAAATCTTAGAGTGGATCTTTTTTTTTTTTTTTT